TCCACTGAGCTACCTTCCCTCCCCAGTCCCACATAGTATATGTATAAATGGGAAGAATAACAAAGAGATAGATGCTTCTCTTGCAAATTAAAAAGCTGAGATTTAGAATACTAAGGCAACTTGCCCATTTTATACTTCCAGTAAGTGGTAGACTAGATCTCAGTCCCACACCTGTCACTGGAGGCTGGCTCTTATGGCTTCTCTAGCATCTCGTTACCTGTCCGTGTCATAAATTTTCAGATTTAAGGGTATTCATGTCTAAAGATTGATTCCAAGGCCTCTGGAGAGCTATGATCCAATTCTCCTTTTTGTGTATTCAGTTTGGGTTCAAGAAGAGATATCAAAGCGAATCTTGAGTACCAGGATCAGCAAATCTGAGCAGAACGCTACACTTACTGTACTTACATTTCGCAATGATATACAATTATAAACAAAGCATAGGAAAATGAACAGAATTTTCATTTTCTTATGTGGTCTATAGATCCTTATGAAAAATATTTAAATTGATACAGACATAATGACCACAAAGCTATTTGATGGTGTAAATTTTTCAAGGCTTGCTTTCTTTCTTTCTTTCTTTCTTTCTTTCTTTCTTTCTTTCTTTCTCTTGTGCAGGGTCTCACTACATAGTCCGGACTCATAGTTATCCTCCTGCTATCTGCCTCCCAAATGCTGGGATTACAAGCATGTGCCACCATACCCGGACTCCATCGCTGGCTCAACGCACCCAGGGGTGAGGCCAGAACAGCCTGCGGAGCCAGGGATCAAATCTTGGCCCCTGCACTTACCTAAGCAAGTGCTGCTTAGTCTGCTGAGCTATACTGCCAGCCCTAAAAGTTCAGAAGCATTTTTTTTTGGCGGGGGGCAGGCTCAGGATGCCTTCAGGGCAGGTCTAGTAAGGCTTGAGGATCTGGGGATCAAACTAGAGCAACCTGAGCCTGAGTGTTTAAGCAGTTGATGGTGTAAATTTTGAAGAGGAGTCTTTCTCAAGCAAAGTTCTCTAATGTGTTTGCCACAACACAGCATTAAAGGTGTACCAGCATTCTGTGCAGCTTCACACTGTGTACAATAAAATGTGTTTAAAAATCTTGGATTAGGGGCAGGGGAGATGGCTCAGTAGAATAAGTGCTTGCCTAGCAAGCGCAACGGCCTGAGTTCAATCCCCGGTTCTGGAAAAAAAAAAAAAATCTTGGATAACTGTAGAAGATAACATTGAAAACTACACTTCCTGCAAATGTATCTGCACTGAGATTGAATCATGTGGCAGTTCTGGGCAAGTCTAAAAGCCAGATGGGATACGCACGTGCTTTCCTAGTGAAGGTCTCAATCACTTCGCTCGAAGGCCCACAGCCTGCGCTATTGCAGGCTCCCACTTCCACAAAATACTGGGTGTCGGGTAGAAGGTTTTCCAGTCTCGCCGAGTACTCCTGGCTGGTGACCTGAACTCTGTGTGCAGCTGCTTCTTTGTCATGGGCAGCCCAGTACCGAATCTGAAAAACACCCAAGAGAAGGATCGTTTGCCAAGAATCAGACTCCAGCTCTGAAGTTCTTTTCCATCCACTCTGTTACGCTGGTGTTGTCTGAGCACTGTATTCTCACATGTTGCAAAAGGAATGTAACCTTCTATCAGTCTTAGAATATGGAAAAGCAGGCAATGCAGATCTAATTAAAAACATCAAAGTCATATAAAATCCTCATGTCATTGGCTGACAAAGAGGGAAGGGGGGAGAGAGAGAGACAAAGAGAGAGACAGAGAGAAAAAAGAGAGGAGAGAGAGAAAGAACAGAGAGACAGAGAGAGAGACACAGGGAGACAGAGACAGAAAGAGACAGAAAAACAGAGACAGAGACAAAAAGACAGAGACAGACAGAGAGAGAGACACATGGAGACAGAAACACAGAGAGAGAGAGAGAGAGAGAGAGAGAGAGAGAGAGAGAGAGAGAGAGATCGACCAAACAACTCTGGATAAAATCTAACTCCAAAATATAAAAGCAATATCTTTGGAAATGTTTGTGCAATAATTTTTAAAATTTACATCCTGCTTTCTTTCTATTTATACAGTTTCAAACTTGTTACAAGCCTTTGATAAAAAAGTTTGACAAGAATACAACTTTGATCCATCAAAACAGTCATTATAAGGCATAGAATAGTGTAGCATAATTTTTATTCTGTCTCCTTTCACAAGTAGATGTGCAAAGTTATTCCTTGCAGACTATTCAAAGGAAATATCAAGACTACACAGAATAATTTGACAAGTTACAGAAACTATTTCTTTTAAAAATTTTTAAAAAATTTATCCATATTGTGACTGCAAATGCTGACACTTGCTGTTATGACCTACCTTGTCTGTTAAAGTTCAGAAAAAATTATGAATTACAATTTAGATTCTTCAAATAAAGGTTATTTGGTGTCTAAAATCTGTTATTATTCCAAAGTAAAAACAAAAAGGAATTATTCATAAGTATATTAGTAGTTTATAAATCTTAGGTTGCTCTATCAATAAAATAATAAAATTTTAATTTTATAATTAGTTTGTATGCTTGGAAAAAATGTATAATATCAATATAATTTTGAACTTTTTATTTACATGAATATATGAAGCTGTTACCTAGCTGACTGGCTCAAATTCAGTTGTCAAAAGTGAGGTTTAGGTACAGAATTAATACATTTCTGAATAAAAGCCAGCTGCCAGTCATTCACTGGTTTCCTTCATAATATTTTAATTTTCTTTACTAATAATCACTTTGTCAATACCAGGGAGCCCTTTCTTTAAGGGATTAAGTAGAATTTCTGGGCCATTTCCATCATCTTGCGGGAAAGGCGACCTGGGGGCAGAGGGAGTGGAAGTACACCAGGAGACCCCGGAAGCCGAGCTCCACGGTAGAGCCGCCTCCACCCGCACTTGCTGGCTGTTTAAATAGGGAACACATGAAGGAGTGAACAGTAAGAGCGAACTTCTATGTTCTACTGAAATGGCAAGCGCTGCATGAGGATCATCCGATCGTCTCTTTCCTTTCAAGAGACTCAAGGTAGGTGAATTTAACCCATTCGACGCCAATTACAACAAAATTCCAGGTGGGTCATGAGTTTGTATATATGTGCTTATTGACTGACAGGCATACCATGTTATAAAATATTCCATTGAAACACTTTTTATATCTTTTTCTTCTTTTTTGGCAGAACCTGGGATTGAACTCAGTCCCTTGCATTTGCCAGGGAAGCGCTTATTCCACTGAGCCATCTCCCCGGCCCCTTTATATCCATTTTAAGGAGAAGATACTAGACTAGATTAATATAACAAAGGGTACTTTATAACATGTGTTATAGCAAAATGATGAAATAAGCTGGCAGAACTATTCTGCTGTCCTACTCAAAATGAGATAATTGGCAAAATGGGCTGGAAAAAGTTTCCCTAATTTATTCTTTGAAGCTATATTCTAAGTGACCAACTTATATTTGTCTGACTCACACAGGGATGTCTGCAGTCAGCATCCTGATTCAAATTCACAATCAATTGTAGGAACGACTTAGATGCCCCTTGTAGCACAGGGCAGAAAGTGTCACTGCATGTGCTCATGGGACCTGATTTGCTCATTTTTGAATGTGAGAACTCCGTGACATTTTACACAGAAACCTTACTGAACCTTGACAAATGAAAACGTCTGACACAGAACGATGGGGTGCAGAACTGATCTCTTCTGATGCACGTCTATGTACAACTTGTATTTTCAAAGAGTCCTAAAATATAGTAGATGCATACATAAAATGTAAAATATAGCACTATCCTTTTATCTAGGCTAGTTTCTGACTGTGAACACAGTGTTGATTTCTAAATAGATAGCAGAGGTCGGCTGTTGCCTCTTTAGACTCCATTCTTCGTTTGTCCCTGGGGCGCAGCACCATGTTCCCCTGTGAGGAAAGCGTTGGTTATGAAAGCTGCGGGGACGCACAACAAGTGACAGCCTGATCATTGGCAGAACGGAGTTAAGTCTTAGATGCCCCAAAGAGTCCAAATCAATAAATGAGAAGGGAATAGCAGGTTCAGAAAAGTAAGCTTGGAGATATATAAAGCAAATGCTTACTTTGGTAATAGGGCAAAAATTCATATTCACATGCTAGAACAACATGTGGGTTTTTTAATGCTGTGGAATTTCACAGTTTATGAATAGCTAAAGTCCAGGCAATACTCTCCATCTGGTCTGACCTCATACCAGTGCTTATTAAGCAATTACAGACTTGTGTCACTCCTTGACCCTCTGTACTCTTACTACATTATAAACTCAGTGAGGACAGCTATACATTATTTTTGAACACTGTGTTTGCAGGTCTATGTGGAGTACATGCTATTAATTTACTCTAACAAATATTTATTGGGTCGTTACCTTGTATCAGGTCCTGAGTCAGTTGCTGAGAATGCTATAGAGAAATAAGCAAATGTGTTCTTTGCTATCATAGACCTCATTTAAAATAAAATATTAAATCAAAATGTTTAAGTTTATAATTATTAACACCCCTGACAGAGCTCCTTAAGTGCTTAATTGCTCTTCAAGAAAATGGACTATATTTCAATTCCCGGTTCTGA